TTTAAGTTAGGAGATGTTACATCAGTGTCAAATATTACAAAAGGGCCCAGTGAATTCTGGACATTTGATTTGGGTGTCATTGGTCATCTCAGTGAGACCTGTTTCAGGAGATCGGTAAAAGTAGCAACAAGATTTCCATGAAATAAAGAATTACTGGATCGTTAGACAAAATAGATAGGACATACAGATTTAGATGAGGAAGGCAGGAAAAATACGAGATAGAATGAAGGTGTTTTGTTTTTGGAATATACAAAGGCAGACTTGCCTGTCTTTACACTGTGTGGAAGGGGCTAGTTGAACAGAAAAGGCTAGAGAATCTGGAGAAAGGGTACAGATAGTACAGGGCCTGGGAAGGGAAGAAGGTAGGGGCGGGGTAAGGTAAGTAAGGATCCAGGTGGTCCAGGTTCGGGCCTGAGGTCTCTAGCTTGCCCACGAATGTCAATAAAAAGGTTTTCCTCTGAGAACAGACGTTCCTGGTTTGAGGAGCATAACACAGGTTTGGCGACGCTGTGTGGCTCCCGAGAGGTGCTTAGACTCGGCACGCAGCAGAGAGCAGCGGCAGAGATGCCACATGGCTGCACCATATCCTTGGGACCCAGGGGCGGCGCAGGGAAAATGGACTGTAACTGTCGTTGGTGTTTGAAACGTGCATGCGGTGGACGGACAGGCGAGGGTACGAGTGTGAGAGTGGTGTAAAGGGTTTGTGAGATGATGCGCAGGGGCGAAGGGCAGGGACATGGGCCGAGCAGGTCCGCGGGAGGGTGGCGGCTGCGGCCAGAAGACGTTGGACCTTGGAGGAAGGACCGTCTGGAAGCAGGTCCAGCGGAGCGTGTAGGCTGCGGTGGCGGAAGACCACAGACCCCGGTCCGCCGCATGCTTTCCTGACGAGGCGCCGTGAGGACGGCCACAGCCCGAGGGCGCGAGGGGGTGCAGGCTGGGGGTCAGGCGGGCAGCGATCGTGTGGGCTTCGGGAACCAGCCTGGGAGTGAAGGGCGCAAGGGCCGGGGTCCCGGGGACTGAGGGGTCCAGAGGCCCGCAGAAGCCCGCGGGCCTCGCCTGGTACGAAGGGTCCAGCCGCTCTGGGGTCCTCAGGTGGAGAAAGGCGGACAGCGGACGAGGCGCGGGTCCCAGACCGTGGGGTGTGGGGCTGGGCGGAGGGCGGGAGAGTCTGCGGCCTTTGCTGCTGCGCACGCGAGGGGCAGCGAGGGGCGCGTGCCTGGAGTCCGGGGCCCCAGGAGCGGGCGACGTGAGTCGGGACGTGTGGAGTCTCGCGCGAGGGCGGGGGGGGGCCGCGGGTGAGGAGACCGAGGTGTGTATTTATTTAGAAATTCTTTAATTGCCTGCGTTCCCTCCGCGGCCGCGCGGCGAGTCCTGAGGCTCCTCCTTCGCACGCCCCGCCCCTTTCCGTTACCAGACCTGCCCCCGGGCCTGGCCCCTCGTCCTCATTGGCTGGTGTTCCGGAGCGGAAGAGGCGGGGCTGCGAACGCGTGACTGTGCCGGCCCCAGGCTGCGCCCAAGTCCCAACCTCGAAGTCTTATTGGCTGTTCTCCAGAGCGGAAGGGGAGGGGCCACCCCGGGCTGGTCCTGCATGTAGGCTTGCCGTCTCAGGGCTTGAGTGAGGAGGGGCCGAGGTTGGGGGAGGGCGGAGCTGAGACGAGAGGGTACCCCTGCTTCTGATAGTTGTGTGCCTCCTCTTGGCTCCTTGAGTGTAAGGCCATGCACACAGGGCCCTGCCTGTCTGCTGGGCCACTCTGTCCCCAGTGTCCAGAGCAGCACTTGGCACAGCAGGTGCTAGTAAACATTTGTTAAATGAGTAGGTGGATGGCTGAATGTTTAGCCTCCACAACTACCTTGCATGGCTGACATTGTCCTATCTGTCTTAACAAAGGAGGGCCCTGTGCCCCAGGAAGATGAGGCCGAGGCCCAGGTACGTGCAGCTGGGAAGAGCAGGCATTGCTTCCAGCCCAGGCTCTGATGGCCTTCAGGCAGCAAAAGCACAGATTACCAGGCAGGGGATGGCCAGAGAGCAGCACAACCCTTAGGGAGGCTGCACATAAGCTGTGGTTGAGAGGAGGCTAGAGAGATCGCTTGGGCCTCTATAGGCCAGTCCAAGGGGCTCAGTCTTTACTTAGAGTATGATGGGCATCTTGGAAGTGTGGTAAGCAGACTTGTGACATGGCAAAGAGCCCTCCTTGGTTGCTGGAGGGAGGATAGAGTCGGAGGCAGCTGTTGCTGTTGTTTGGACAAATAATAATGGAAGTGTGGGCAGGGAAGGTGGTGGTCATGGCGGAGGGAAGTAACAGCTATTCAGAAGGTAGACTTGTCAGGGCTTGGAATGTGAGAAGTGAGGGAGAAAGAAGGAATGGGTTAGTGGTTGAAGGGTGATGCCACTGGCTGAGATGGGGAAGAGTGGGAAAGAAGCCAGTTTGGAAGGTTGTAAACTCCGTGTTTGAACACCTTGTGTTTGAGATTCCTGGGACTCTCTGGATTTCAAGGATTTCGATCCTTAGCAGACTGATTACAGAGCAGGAAAAACAGCTAGAGTTGAGCCAGACAGTTCTGGGCACACAGTGAGTCCCCACCCATCCACTGAAGAATCTGCTGCCTGAGCCACATACCCTCCCCAAACTGCCAGGTTTCTGCCCCTTCCAGACTTGGAAGAGCTGTCCCTTCCCGCCTGGGAGCCACCCTGCATACTTCCAATCACTCCGCCATTTGCTTAGACCGTCCAGAAAAACGAGAGTCATGAATAACTCTAAAGAGTAATGAAGGCAACTTCAAGGAAGAGTAAGAGTTAACTAGGCTGGATTCCACGCAGAAGGTTCAGTGAAGGCAAAGGCAAGTATGTGGATGAGCCTGCTAACTTTATGGAATGGCAAGTGTGGCTGGGGCTCAGGTTCTTGAGGAACAGCAGAAGAGACTCAGAGATCAATTGGGCTGGAATGGGAGGAACCCGGGTACCCTGACCAGCAGATGGAGGTAGGCTGTCTCAGACACCCTGCAGAGTCCAGACCCGGAAGGATGGGCTCTCAGGGAGTCCAGAGATGTCAGTCTGGTCTACTCAGGCCCTGTACTTCCAAAACTAGCTAACTGTTCAACAAATGTTTCCTTTATATCCTGGGCACACAGCTAGACTACATTTCCCAGCCTCCCTTGCAATAAGATTCCTGGCCGGTGTGCTCTGTTAATGGAAGTGCTCTGTTATCATCAGGCCACCTCTATAAAATCCTCCCATGAGTGATCTTCTCTCTCTCTTTCCCCATGTACCTACTGGATGTTGATGTCCGAGGTCACTTGGGAGCTAGCTGAGGAAGGCAGGGCCTCCGTCACCATAAGTCTTTGAATAATGGTATGCAAAGTGTCTGCCTCAGCCAGCTGAACAGGAATTAAACTTCTGTTGAGATTTCAAGGTTTATCTGTTATGACTGCTAGCCTTAACTAGTGCAGATCTGCAGAGCCATGCGGCATAAGGACCTTATTTAGGTCTGGAGTTGTCACCAGAGGTGTATATCCTGGTTTAGCATGATGATATCTTTTACTGATTTAAGAACAAATCAGAGAACTTTGGCTAAATTTCAATATTAATTAAAAGCCAGCTGTTGGACTCTGCTCACTGCTCTCCCAGTGAGTGAGCAGATATGCCCAGAAGCCCACCAAAACTGACACTTTCCCAGGGTAGGTGACACAGGCACCCCAAGAAGCAGAGGTCTGTGAAGATACTTTCAGAAGCCCAAGAATGCTGACATGGAACGCGACATTTTGTGAGCATAGATATACTTCTATGAGCCTCTCCTGGAGACTCTTACGAGGTTAGAGTCACCCAATCACCCATTAATCACCCAATTACCCAAAATAGAAAATGTGAATTACCTTCGATGCCTCTCCATCAGCTTTGTCAGCCCTCCCCACCTTTGACGTTCTCACCTCTCTGATCCTCAGTCCCTTAGTTTCAGTCCTGTCATTTCTCCCAACTCTGCCACCACCACAAGCACTACCCTGACAGGTCTCCTTGCTTCTATCCTTAGTGTACCCCACTTCGTTATATCATCCGGTTAGCCAAAGTGATCCCGGTAAAACTTAGGGCAGTTATGTCACCCTTGGCTCAAAACCCAACAGCTTCCCCCATCGTTAGAGAAGGCTGAGTCTGGCCTATGAGCCCTTCTGGCCCCACTCCACCTGTCCCCCCCTGGGCTGTTCCTGCACTGCAGCAGGCACCTCCCACCTTGCAGCTCTGGCTCCTGCCATCCCTCAGCCAGGAATGCTCTGCCTTCCGGCCCCTACGTGGCTCCTGCCCTCATCTCCTTCACGTTGGAGGCAAACAGCCCCACTCCTCCACTTCTTCCTGGTTATTGCCATCTATCTCCTCACTAGCCTCTAAACCCCAGAGGGAGGGGCGGTTTCTGCTGGTTTTGTTCACTGCTGTATCCCAGTGCCTAGCACACTGTGGCACTCAGAAAGCAGGTGATAAACCTCGAGCTTCCCCTGCCCGCCGCTCCATCCCCGATCCACGTCTGCCTCACCTGTAGTGAATTCCACTTGGGCAGGTGGTGCCCTGCTCACTGCTGAATCCCCAGCCCAGAGCCAAGTGGATGGCTGGTGTTCAATAAACACTGGTCCCTGAGAGAGGGCCCGGGACTGTTCCTGACTCACTTCCGGCTCTTGGCGCCTAGCAGGGTGCTGAGACCTGGATTCGCTCAAGCATATAGCGATAGTAATCGAGTACCTACTTACACTTTACTTTTCGCTTACTTTTCGTGTTATTTTAATAAGAAAGCTGACCGGAGGGAAGGAGCACCTGCTCTCTCATAGACATGACCACTGGACACCCGGACCTCAGGCCCGAGACTGCAGTACCTCTTATGTCCAGGAGGAGGCTGAGGGCCCCATAGGGCTCTGCTCTAGCCCAGAGGGGTGCAGAGGGCACGTCCATGCATGGAGGAAGTCGGTGGGCCCCACTCCCCAGCAGACAAACAAACAGAAGTCACCCTAGGAAACAGGGAAAGGTTCTGAAGCAAGAGTTTATTCCAAGTGCACACAGTGGCTATGGACAGTGACCTCAGCAGAGACACATTTCATAAGAGGTCACAAGCCTCTCCTAGTCTCCCAGTCTCAGCCCTGCCCTTGCCATCTCTCTGGCCTGAGCTAGGGCTGGAGGAGAGTCTTCTACTTCCCAAACAAAACACAGGAACCTACAGGCTCAGAGAGAATTACACAGCCTTATTTTTATTAGTATCTACCAAGAAATAAAATCAAAACCCCCTCCATGCTCCAACTCCACCTCTGCCACATGGACCCTCAGGGGCAGCGTCTGCCTGGGGAGCCCCTGCTGCCCGAGCTGTCTTTGGAGCTGGTCACCTGTGCACGGCCACCCCTCGTGCCTGCAAGCTGACCACAGACCCATTCCTCTAACGTGGGGATGAAAGGGTGGCTGGCATCTCTCCGGCCCTCAGCTATCAGCTTTGGGAACTTGGAAGAGATCAGCAATGTCCAGCAGAGCTTGGCGGATGTGGTTCCCAAAGCGCTGGGCATTCTGTGGGCACCAAGAGCTCCGATCAACCTCCAGGCGAGCCCCTGCCCCTCTGTCCCCACAAGCAAGGACTCTTCCCCAGCCATTCAGGGCCCCAGGTGGCACCCCCTCCTCAGGCCTGAGCGGGAGCAGGAGACTCACTGTCTCTGAGCTTGAGAACTTGCTGGAGATGTGGAAGAAGATGGTGTTCTCACCCGCAATCATGTAGGAAACCCCGTAGCCATCGTCTGCCACCTGAGGACAGCACCAGGTGAGGGCCTACAAGCCGAGCTGAGGCTGCCCTTGCCCCTCCGCGGGACCCCCAGGAAGGGTCCGCCCCAGACGCCGCCTTCTTCTCTAGGTCAGGACCACCCAGGGGACAGTGTGAAAACCCAAGAGCTCAGCCCCTGCAGTTCCAGACCCCACCCGGGAACCCAGGACCTCGTGCTTCTCTCAGGGGGATCAAGATCACCGAGGCCTCTGTCCAGGGGCATCTCTAGCTCCCTGACAAACATCCCGCGTGAGTCTCTCAGTAGGAGAGCTGGACTCTGTCTAGTAAGCATACATCGGGGGAAGCAGCCCTGGGCATGCTTGCGCTCCTGCTCCTGTGGCGGGCGCCGGCACAGGTGGGCTCCCAGGCGCCAGTCTGCCAGGCTGCTAGCTACCCATTCTGTTTCCACGCAGGGCAGGTCCAGGGCTGTGCTCCCACCTCTGGCCCGACCTCTTTGAGGTCCTGCACTCTCCACTGAAAGCGCCAGGCCCCCGTCCTACTCACCCATCCCCTTCCACAGGTACTTACAGGGCCAAAACCACCGCCAGGGGCCAGGTGATTGGGGTACTTGTTTGGGTCAAACATGCGGATCTGGAACTGAGTGGTCTGGCTGGTGGAGAGGCGCCAGGGTTCTGAGAGCACCTGCAACAAGCAGACTGCAGCGGTCAGACACCATGTGCTCAGCGCACATCTGCCGCCAAGTGGTGCCCAAGCACCTGCTCGAGCCAGACTGTTCTGGCTGAGGGTGCGGAAGTGAACGCAGTGCAGAACCTTCCTGACGGGGGCCCCAGGTCTGTTCTCGCCATCCCAGCATCTGCGCAAACCCTCGATCCTGTCTCAAGGCTCGTTGACCTGCCCATTCCTCTGGCCCCCTCCTGTCCCGCTGTCCCGTGCACAGGGCACACCCTGGCCTCAGAGTCTGGGCACTGGAGGTTCTCTCTACCCAGCCCGATCCCTTCAGCCTCTTCACTCTTCTCAGGAGTGCTGTCACCACCTGGCGCTTCGCACGTTTGTCTGTCCGTTTCCTTCATAGAACACCATATGCACAGAGTGGGGTGGGGTCTCTCTTCAGTGTCAGAATCAACTGGCCCCACCCCTCCAGGACAGTTTCAAGGGAGCCGGCCAGACAGAAAACAGGCCAAGACCAGCGGGGAAGGCCACCCGCATCAAAAGCACTGACCTCAGCCAGGAAGGGGGAGCTGACCCCCAGGTACTTAGAGACCACGTAGAGGCAGAAGAGGTGTCTGTCAATGCCAGCGCCCGTCATGGCCAGGCGGTACAAGTTCTGGTGCTTCTCAGAGGCTTTCCGGAAGAGACTCTGGAGGTCTGCTTTCTGGGTCACAGGACAGGGCAGTGAAGAATGGCCCTGACCCCCAAGGCGGCAGGAGGCAGAGGGTCGCCTCACCGTGAGGCTGTGGGGTCACACCTTGTGGGTCCCTTCCACCATGGCCTTGACAAAGGCTGCGGACTCGCGGGTGCAGGAGCGCACAGTCTCCGTCCTCCCCTCACGGAACATCCTGGTCATGGAGGCTTCATAGGTCAGGCAGAACTTGCCCCTGTCCTGGGGAACACAGAGGGTGAACCTGGCTGGCGGCCCCGTGCAGCCCTGACCACTCGCTGGGCGGCCGGCGGGCCCCTACCCGGAAGTGCGCCAGCTGCAGGGCAATCTGCACGAAGGCGTCGGGACTGGTCCGGCACTTCTTGATGAGACCCTTGCCGAAGAGCAAGAACTGGAAGCAGTACAATTCCACGTCATCTGCCAGCGCCTTGGCCACCTGGTAGGAACGCTCGATGACCGCCTGGCACTGCGGAGACACGGAAAGGGTCAGCTGGGGGCAGACCTCTCGGAAGGGCAAGGCTGGCGGCGTCAGGGTCCCTTCACATCTTCTGGAGGAGGGAGGTGCTGACACGGCCCCCTGGACATGGGGCTCACACATCCCAGCTCCTCCCGCCAGCACGTGGCCCGAGATGTCTGGTCTCCCTGCGGCCAGTCTACTCAGTGTCCCCTGTGAGCGGGGCTGGGCCAGACGGGAGGAGGTAGCAGCACATCTCAGGTCCTCGTCACTCTCTCATGCCCCCCCCCCGCCCCCGCCCAGTCCCCGCTCAGCCTGAGCACCTTCTCCGGGATGGCCCACTGCAGCCGCTGAGGATGTGGCAGCGCAGTGTTCGGTGTGCCCAGGCAGTGCCCAGTGTCCGTGTACCCCAGGTGGAAGGTGTCAGTGCCCAGGACAAACTGCAGGGAGAGGGTCAGGCTGAGAGGCTGTCCCCGTTCCCAGCCCCCAGCCCCCTGCCAGCCTACCCCGCAGGACCCCTCTCTGGGCCCCTTGCCTCCCAGAGGTGCCCGATGATAGGGGCGTCTGCCCAGGCATGCTCCGTGTTGAGGCCCATCTTGCCGTTCTCGAAGACCACGAGCGTGAAAGACTTGTCGAACCACCTGCGGAGGAGCGGGTGGTGGCGGGGAGGGGAGGTAGGGGGCTGGG